GTAACCTCTGTGTATTGGTGTTATTTATGTGTGTTTTATTTGCCTGAACACTCGTGCTGAGATGAGTTCATACCTTTCTGCTGTCTGGCTGCCTTGGCAACATGTTTCATCACCACGCCCTCAATGCCCTTCTTGATCAGCGTGGGGGAAGCAGAGACCAAACTCAACTCCTCCCAGCTCTCGGCCATCTTCTGCTCCACCTTCTCATCATCCGCTGCACGTCCTGCACGCTCTATCAGCTGAACACAAACACTCACAGATTACAGGCTGAACTGCAGGACTGATAACACACCGCTAGTACATACAGAGAACATGCACCGTCACAACCTGCAGGCCAACACAATTAAGTTAGAGGCACAAAGACAGACTCAGCCTCAATAACCTCCTAACAGGACCAGCTTGCACATTTTTTGTCCATTAACTACAACTTACATATTTTACATCACTGTTGTCCAGGCAGCAGATTAACATACAGTCCAGGATTCAATCATTTCATAGGTATAGGGATAAAGAATGATGGTAAAATGAATGTTCTAATTGGTTCAGTTATATCTGAATGACACAGAGTGGGTAATTGGGGTTGCACATAACAGCAATGTGGTATTCTTTTTGTGAGTTCCATATATGACCCAAAACTTTACCTAAAAAGATACCGTACTATGTTGGAGAGAAACAGAACAATTTTGATTTCCTTTACCTCTGGATTTAACTCCTGACAACATAGCTTTGGAATAAACCTCTTTGCAACTTTCTGTACTTGCCAGCAAAACAGACTATAGTTAATAAAACAGCTTGAGAATGAACTGCCAACTTATTAGTGGATATGTAAACTTGCAACTTTTTGGACACTTTTTTTAAGTGCTAGCATGGCAGTTGGGCATTAAGCATTCATGGAGTTCAGGAGCTCTACAGCTCTTAACACCTAGATCAGAAATGTTGCAGTAATGAATTTCTCCAAATACAGATGAATAAAGAGTGCCTATGAAGCACTCACTGATGTGGACTAACAACACTCACCCGCTTCACCGCCAATGTAGCGATCCCTAGCATAGCGGCCCCTCCGACTCCCAGAACCAGTCGGGCATTAGACAGCAGGAAGTCAATCACCATGGCGATGCCATCCTCTCCTCGCCTCCGACTGCCCTGAAAGTTCATGGCTTCCTTTTTTTGTGGTTAGCCTTTGGAAGAGGAAAGGAGCAACACATTATAGTTATAGAGAGAAAATGAACTGCAGTAAAAAGTTTTCTCTAGAAATGATTGAAAAGCAAATGCTCTTTCACAGAAATGTCATGATGTCAGAATAACCGACTGGAGTCAGAAGGTGCATGAAGGAAATACGCACTCACTGACAGGTAACACATTAGAAGAAAGTGTGCAGGAGTTAGTGGAGAAACAAATAAAATCATTAATACGTGACACAATGGGTCATTTAATAGTTTGATTAGTGATACAATAAATGACAGACTTCCGAGTAATACGATTTCAAGTAAAGTGAACACCTACGGATAGATGATCCAATCATGCAATAGCGGCAGATAATGCAGCTTTTTCTGATTTTAATTAGAAAAATCCCGTAAGCTTGCTTTTTTGTAGAGCAGTTATATGTGACAATGATATAAATATACGCTAAATTTGTACAAAACTTGAACAAGTTCACTGTGTTTATCATATTTAGCTTCAGGCACCTGTGAAGTAGCCACAGGACATCACTGATGTCCTGTGGCTAAAAAAGAGGACGTGCACCACTCAGTAGATTTGGTCTGACCAAATCTACTGAGTGGTGCACGTCCTCTTTTTTTTGCCAGGGGTACAGAAGCCTGAGAATGGAAACATGTTCTATTTTTAGACCCAGTACATGCCTGAGTCACACCATCGGGGTCAAATATATGACAACCACCCTCCTAGTCAAGTTACAGCAACAACGAATGTCTGCAGCACGTTCAGCTCTGACTTTCAACGTCAGAGCTGAGTTCATCTTTAATGTTTAATGTTAGCTGCTTTACCATCAGGAGGCCTGTTGATGCTGCTGCAGTGGTTAGTGATATACATGTGCATGCTGCAACGTATAGATACAGATTTTACTATTATTATAATTATAGAGAGGGTCATATTTTCTATTTAATGTTATACATTCTGTGTCATCTTGTTGTTTTATCTTATTCTTATGGTTAATATTTAACAGTTTAACCAAAGGACTCTGATATTGACAAATGTTGCTGCAAACAAATGGAGCAACTGATAAACATATAGATCTGTCAGTACGTTAAGCTATTACCCAATATGCTCTTGCAATGGTCCTGTACCATAATTCCATTTCCAAAAGATGTTTAATTCTTCAATATTACCCTAAAATTACCTAATATGTTAGTTATACCGTGACAGATTTGTAGCATTAGCAGCATGATACAGCGCCTGGTTGTTACTGTAAGTGAATCATCAGGCATACTCTCAACCGGGGAGAACAACAAAGTAATTGTGCAAGAAAAATGTTTCCTTTGTACTGTTTTCTTTTTTTTGTTTGTGGGATACAGTACGGATCAAAGGTTGACAGCATTGTGACAACTGATGTACGTATGTAATGTTTTTCAAACAGTTTTTGCTGTTAAATGGAAAAGCACTTGCATCTAGTACATGGAAGATGCAATATAAATAAAGTAAATGTATTCATGACACTGACTAATCAACCTGACTCCTCCTCAGAAGATCGTAAACAAAGGGATTCAAAACTAAATATGTTGCAGTTCAATTACAATTACAGTCACCTGGCCCGACTGCTGACTTTGAACACATTGACCCAAACGTTGACCAAGTACTTGGGTCTTTTACTTCAGTAAAATAAGTAAAACAACAATGTAGAAGAACTGTGCATTTAAAGTACATAGGTATAAGCATCACAATGTACTTTAAAGCACATCAAGCTAAAGCTAAAACAAATTGTAATACCAAACGTATACAGGGTAGCTTGTGAATGTCCTCAAGAGCTCAACACGTTTTTGAATAGGCTAGCACATGATAAACTATTTATTGATCACATGTTGTATTATTAATCTGATTGTAATTAGTTAAAGCTGCCATTTCCCTTCTGAAATGTAGAGGTATAAAGTAGCATGAAGGAAAGTACAAGTGTCACATTGAATTAAGTAATGTTATTGCATTTACTTTAACATGTATCTGCTGACAACCTTTCCAGTGTTTCAAAACAGTCTACATATGTAACGCCAGAGGTTAGTAACATTAGAGTAACCTAATGTCCATCTAGTTAACCTGCATCATGAATCAGCCTATCAATATGACCTAGTTTAGCTTCATGAAGAGCAGCAGGCGAACAAACTGCTGCCAAACTCCTGCTAGCTACCGTTAGATTAACATTAAGTGACAGCTATGTCTCCACAGTTATATGTACTTACCACTCAGTTCAGAGAGAAATACAACAGTCCAACGCCCCACCATTAGTGATTTCATTCAATACGTATATCAGTTTTCTTTGATAACAAAGTGTAATGTTAGTTTATTTCCTTCACGGACAAAGAGTAAATATAGCTCATCCAGCTAGCTAACAACAGCTGCTGTCTTCTTCTTCTGCGCTTTAATTACAGTTGTTGTTTAAGGTGCAGCAGCGCCACCAGGAGAAGAACCGGTGCACCGAGTAACTACACCAGGAACCAATAAATACTATCACTATACAAATTTAGAATAGATAACAATGTGCTGTTACCTATGAAGTTTATGTATGTACAATGTTGACATCCTTCTATCTTACGTGAGTGTTTCCATTTCATAACACGTTGGTATTAATCATCTTGCGTTTTCTTCATGCGCCATACGTGTGCTGTTATATGTTTACTTTCTTACAACTTATTTATAGTTTATTAAAGTATACAATATTGAATCTGCTGTACAGTAATTCATTTTATATTCTGCTTTATGTTATTCAATCTTGTCTGTATTACATTGTCTTATTTCTGCATCCTATGCGCCATCATATCTCTTGCACTAGTTTATTTCTTTAACTCCTTACATGTCTTAATTATATTATTTTTGCATTCTTGGAGGAGCCTGGGACCTAAGATTTGTTTTATCACAAAAACTACGCTGTAGCCTTTGTCCATATGACCATACAGCACTTATAGAGCTTATCATACCTATTTAATGTTAGTGTCATATTAAGCTGTGTCAACCTGTTGTCATTTTGATGGTTCTGGCAGCTATGACAATTTCATTTAACTACAGGAATTAATAAAGTAACCCATTTACCTTTAGCATTGATTGTTGCTTATGTAGTCACAAAAATAAGGCAATTATTTAGCCCGACCAATATTGGTAACTGTGGGGGAAACTTCTGAAGCAATTGGCGTCAGGACTCAAGAGAGACACGAGGAGAGCTGGAGCTTTGATGGCAAACACTTGTGGTTTATTTGGAGTTACGGCCGGAGAATTCACAAGACATGGCACGGGCCACGAGTTGACCACACGGTTGAGATGCCACAATCAATTCTGAAGAACCCTCCTGTAGCTCCAGGTTTTAACTAGTTCAGAGTGTAATAATCAACATTCTTCAATAGATAGACTGAACAGCTGAGGACACTGAATCACATTTGTTGTCGCTTATGGCTCGGGGTCATCTACACCCCGAGAAGGATGTGTTCCAGGTGACCCACAACAATAACTATCACTGACAGAGTTGCCCGGTCATAAACTGGTAGCCCCTCCTTATGGGAGATAACGGCTGCTCAAGGTTGGTCAGCTGCGTCAGAGGGCGAAGGAGGACATGCAGGGCAAATTATTCCCCAACAGTAACTACAATTATAATTATGACAGCTGAAATGTAATCTATCTATGCGTTTGCTACCAAGATTTGACCCAGTAAAACGTTATTAAAGAGAACTGAAAAGACCTTTCCCTTTCCCTTTCCTATTTATATCCATCCGGTTTCCTTTTGGAGAACTGTTTTCGAGCATGTGTTGCCTTGAACTGTACAGTTGAAAATATTAAGAAGCAGATACATTTGACATATTTTCTTTATTGAATTATAAATAACTCTCTGGAAATATCGAGGATGCATAATATACAAACTTATTTAACAATTCAGGAGATATAAGAGGAATACAGAAATTGAATTGCAAAAAGTCCAAACTTGTTTACCCTTTGTCTTAACTTAAATAATATGATCCAAGAAAAGTAAATAAACATTGATCGATAAAAAAACTTTACCAATGCCAAAATGTGTTTAAAATGATGACAGTGAAACTCCTCTAAACCAGTGAACTGTCCTGTTGAAAGGGGTCGAATAGGATGACAACAAAATGCACTATTTGTTCAATCCTGTCGTTTGATTCAATTCAGCAAAGAGGGTCTACAGTATGAGGCCACTGCTCTTTGAAATTCTTCTTTTTCGTGTATGAAGACCCTGATTGATTTGAAGACGATATGAGCACAAAGTGGGAAGGAAACTTTAAAACATGCAAAATAAAATATACAGTATACACTGCAACTAATGATTACTTTCATCATCAATTAATCAGGCATATTCTTTTTAGATTAATCGATCTTAATCGTCCTTTAAAATTGCAAAAATATAGTTATAAATGTTTATCTCTGTCAATCGCTACAGCTTTAATATGATGTATTAGTTCAACAAAGCTGGGCCCTTTCTAACCACTGGTTCCCAACTTCCAAAACTTGAACAGAAAAGGAAAAAAATAAATTATTTACTAATTGAGAAAAGTGGAGACAAACAACGATTGGGTAGTTATTTGAACTTTCGAATGCACTTTATGTGGACCTGATTTAATTGGGAAAGGTTTGGCAAAAATGGAAATGATGGATGTTTTTTAAGTTTCATTGTTCTTTAGCGGAGCTTCCCAATTTATACAATCCATCAAGAATTTCCTCAATTTGTGGGTTCTTCACTCACACTGAAGTCATGCAGGAAGACATTTATTTTCTTCACAAATTCAGGACAACTGGTAGTGATTAATTGATATATAAATTATGATTTTGGGAGTGAATTATTCCTTTAATGAATAGCAAACCAAATCTGTGGAGATGCTCTTGCAGACTACTAAGTATACATTTGCTAATATTAAGTTCACAACTGTAGCTTAGCTTCTGAATAGCATTAAGACACCACACCCTGCTTTAAGAGTCATTTTCTTCTATGAATGAGGGATATCTTTTGTCCATGTGTAACCCCAGACTAGCCGAGCAGTCAGCAAGTCATTTTTTGTAAATCTTTGTTTACAAAGCAAATTGGAAGGATCAATTATTCTGGAAGTTTCCTTCTCATTCTTGTGTTCAGACACAAGTTAAACAAGTTGGTTTTGTTCTGTCTGACCCAAATATCACCCAATTGAATTGAGGAACATTTTTGATTTAACACAGAACAGCAATAACATGGCCTCTGTCACTATACAAGGTAAAGCAACTTCAAACTGAAACAGGAGCCCAAAACAAACCCTGAGGTTTTCATCACTCAATTAAACATCAGTTCAGTCGATGCACCATATTGTGACCTCCACCAAGAGGAGACATACAGCTGAATCAAATCATAACACAGAACAGCATGGCTGCACATCTGCCAGGTGTTTTGTAAATTAAACTGTGACAGGGAGGCCGAAGTGAACAAAGGTCTGGGATGGCACATTAAGGGTGAGGATCAGAAATGTAGGTGCAAAAGTTGGAAGTTTGTTTCTGCATAAAAGTTCCCCAAATCAAAGGCTATACAATTGTATTGTACATTATAACAAGTTAGATTACAGCGCAGGGTTCCTTTTGTACAAGTCCATACATACATCTTTTCTTTAGCTCTTGTGGTCTGTACATCTTGGTTACAAAAAATACATGCCATTCTGAAATATTTGTGGACATAGAAACAAGAAAAGTTTGATTAAAGGGAATTTAACAACAGAGCCTTAGTGTAATGTAGTGTAGTTACTTCAGGTTCTGAACTGTGCAGTAGACAGACTTGTTTTGCTTGTCTGCAAGAAACAAATAATGCACTCAGACTGACCCGGACTCAAATCAAAACAGACACCATGATGACTGTGCTCCTTGTGCCAGACATAAACTAGAGCAAGAAAATGATGACTAGTCAAAAAAGATTACAATATTGAAATGCATAAAGAAAGGGTATATTTATATGTTTACATGTGTGATGAGAAGTGCTTAGTGGCGTCTCATCTTGACTTTGCGTCCTGAGCTCTCCCGGGGTTTTTCGGAGTCTTGTCCACGTTTCCAGTAGTTCTCTGAGCTGATGCTGTGACGACGACTACGGGAGTTTGACGGATGTCTGTTCTCCTCTTTGTCCATCTCCAGTACCCTCGGCCTGATGAAGGACAAAGTTTGATATGCCAAGTCAGATTAGGTTCATCATTTCTCACTGCTTCATTATTGCAATGTGTTACCTTCAATATTCTTGTTTTTCCTTGCATGCCTGGGCCTTAAACATTAGCAAAAATGAAATAAAACTAAAGTGTATCAAAAAAAATTCTGCAAGAATTCAAGGCAACACAGATGAGTACTGTTCATTTTGTGGTTGAACTATTTCTTTAAGCCCTTGTTAGACATGCAATTAAAAAATATACTGGCTTCATCCATCTGCTAAAGCGATGTCTTTTTGTTATTCAGTCACAGGTCACTTTTAAGTGAGTGTTCCTCATGGCTTCGTTCAGACATGACAGTGCGCAAGGAAGCAGTACGTTAAAAAAGTAATGATTGCTGGAAATAGGAGTCTCTTCATTTACAAGCTTCTTTACTGATGGATTTTAAATTATTTTGCCTTTGAAGTCTTAATTAATGATCATTTTGGGAATGAGGGACGCTCGTCCCCCCTTCTCACTGCGAATGCACTGATAATATCTCAGACGAATTTCCATTATTTAACGTTTTTAGAGCTGCAGGGTTCAAACAAGTCTGACAGAGCACGAGCCCAGATCCATGATCCGTTTGAGCTGTTTCCAAACTAAGTTCAGTAATAATGGTTGGGGTCAGGCTTTCATTGTATTGCTGGGTCAGTATGCCAATATCAGTCTGGTCCACCATTTTTGCAAGACATTTTGTTCCAAGATCCCTCTAAGCTTGTATCACTGACTGTCCTAAGGCCTCCTTCAGATCAAGTCTTCTTTGAAGTTTAGGTGAATCTAGCGGGACAGACCTGCACAGACCTGTGTGTGTGTGTGTGTGTACCTGTGAGCAGCACTTGATGTTGCTCTGCGATGAGTGCGTTTGGCTTTCAGAGTGGGTCTCTCTGCAGGAGAAGCGCTGATAGGGCTGCCAGAGTCGACTCGAGGAGCGTCAGGTCTGGTCCTGGCAAACAGAAGGGGGAGGACAAGCAGAAACACAATGATCAGTGCTGATTTCAAATAAGAGAATTACCTTTTAAATGATATGATGTTGACTCACTTTCTTAGGATGATCACTGCACGCCGCTCCTTGATGTCTTGGGGTCGGATGCAGTGGGTGATATCATCAGCTGCATAACCACTGAGAGAGAAATATGCTGTTAGCACCTGGACTTAGCCTTTCATTAAAAATATGTTATCAAACTTTCATACAATAAATGGACTCAACCTCTTCTTTACATTGTTGATTTATCATCTATAGCACTGGTGCAGGAATATTTTTAAGTAAGCAAATTAAAGTACCTATTTTTGTATTGTTATTAACAAAGTTCGTAACCATTGACAAACTGGATTGGCAGGAGATTGCCTGTTAGCACATGAATGACTCTACACCACTGTGCCAAACCTAGAGCCAATTTTATGAATTGCCTGGGGTTTATTTTTACTCTGCGGCTGACGGCTTCGGGCCTTGTATTATTGCACTTTATGAAACAACTTCCCTTTGCACAGAAATGTCACTCAGCACTTTAGTAGTGAACAGTTTTGCACTTTATTAGCGTGATTGCACAGTACCGTTTGGCATTGCATATTTGCACATTTTATATAATTTATACTAATTATTGAGATAGTATTTATTAACTGATTAAACCGTTTTAATTGAAATGTCGTCTGGCAGATGCTGGTCGGGTCCTCGGCTCCGCCTTGAAAAGATAGGGGAGTTACCGAGAGCGCCAAAAGTGTTTGCTGGTGTAGAATGACAGCGGTTGAGAGTAATCAGGGTGCAAATAATATGTGAGGGTGTGGAAATCATAACGTTAAGTGGCATTAATTGTACCAGTGCTGACTGTGTTCAGTTGGGTTTGTATGTGTGTTAATCTGTTCAGTTATATGTTTGAAAAGTGTTCCCCCTCCCGTTTTGTCTGTTGCTCCTGATTATGTTCACCTGGTGCCCTGTGTTGTCTCCTCCCCCCTCACCTGTGTCTTGTTGGCTTGATTGCACATGTGGGTATTTGGGCTCTGTGTTTCCTGTTTGTAATGTGGGTGTGAGATCCTTGTGGCTGGTGACTGTGCTCACGGGAACAGCAAGATTGAGGCTGTGTCCTGTGACCGAATTTAATAAATGCCCACACCGGGTTATATTTTTGGACGTTCTGCCTCTGCCTCCTTGCTTGGTCGGGCCGCTCAACGGTCAGTCTCACACAGACACACACTAAAGTAATGCAATCAGTGCATGACAGCCACACACAGCCATAGTCACCTGAGGACCGTGACACTCCCCCTCCTCACGGGCAGGACAAACACCGGCTCCGACACCCGGATGGGTTTGAACTGGAAGCGGCACCCGAAGCACAGCGCGCTGTCACTGAAGAAGGACACGGACACGATGGGTCGTGCAAAGATGTGCTGAGGATCCACGTGCGACACAATGCAGCCTCCTGGTTGATAATCATTGATGACTGCGCTGTTGACAAACCCTTCCGGGACCACTCCTCTGGACACCAGGCGCTTGATCACCAGGTCGTGCACCCAGCTCGGGATCTCGTCCACCTCTCCTTTGCGGTACAGCTTCTCCTGGCCCGGGCCACGCTTCTCCAGCTGCGATCCGTAAGTGTAGCCCTCCCCGAAGAAGTACTTGTTACGGAGGGGCGCCCGGTCCACGGTGTGCTCCCGGTAAAGTCCAGCCTCTCCTCTGGTCACCACGTCGTCGATCTTCTCCTCGATGAGGGCGCACTCCTCCGGGCTGAAGATGCTCTCCTGCAGGATGCTGCTCTTCACCCGGCTGGCCTCCTGCTCCATGTTCTCCGCGCAGTCATCGCTGTGCTCAAACTCATCGTCGTCGGACTCTCGGATCTTACGTTTTCGAGCTTTTCCACTGCTGCCATTACTCATCCCGTCCACGAATTTATTATTGATCTCCTCCCTGTGTGGGGTCATGGATTTCAGCTTCTCCCTCAGGTCAGAGTACCCGCTGGATGCCATGTCAGCCACAACTATGTGACTGCTGTAGTGCGACGTGAGCTGCTAGCTAACAGTTAGCATATATCAGCACTGCTTTAACAGTCAATATGGATGTAAAAGGAGTCTTATGGTGTATGTCACTCGCTTTAGGGGACCTGTCCACAGCAGTAGCTAGCATTAGCTTCCCCCGACGTCCTGCGTGCACACTCGAGCAGCCTGGTTATGAATCCTTAGATTATATTACAGTTTACAACCTGTAAATAAACGCTGCTTGGATACTGCAACACGCCCAGCAAGCAGAGAGGTTAACGATGGATATCCGAGCTGCTTGGCTGGCAGCTAAACTAGCTTAAACTAGCCTGGCTTGGTCTGTCCGTCGCCGCCTGGAAAAACCGACAAACCACGCAGCAACATTTCACATGTCACCGTTAAATGTCCAAACTTCGGTGCTCCGGGCACTTTTCCTCTTAGGGTTTAATGCCAAGGGTCCAGGGAGATCATTGTAATAAAGCACAAGACTTCACCACGCTCAGTTTACACCATCGGCTCCAAGAAAAAGGCTGAAAATAAACTCGTGTAACTAACCTGCTACAGCATCCGCGCATGCGCTGTGGTGACCTGCCAGTTTGGAAAGACTGTCACGTGCCTTGAGCGGAACCACGTAAATCCATTTTAGGAGCCTTGAGGGCACGCACAAGACGAGAGCTAATTGTGTCCCACTGCCCTTTTGTCTACCTCTATAAAGATCACATTGTTCATTTCAGTTTGTTATAGTGTTTTTATATTGTTTGTCAGTAATACAATATACATTTGTTATATATTCATTTTTTTTTAGTTTCTTTTGTATATTTATATTTTGTGAAAGTACTTGTCTTTATTCTTTTTTTTTTTTTTTTTTTTTTAATGTTAAATAGTTAAATATATTCCTTTATAATAGTTATAGTTTTGACCTTATTTTACAACTTATTTTCTTATGTTTTGTATGTTTGCACCATCATACACCAAAGCAAATTCCTTGTGTAAATGTATTTGGCAATAAACTTGATTCTGATTCAGATATTGATGGGTTATTGAACGGCGCATGAGCTGTGGGGTCAAGGGCCCCTATTTCATTAAATTAACATATCGATTTTCTAAATGCACTACTTTCTGGCATTAGTATAGTATTAAATAACCAGTCAGGCCAGAAGTTCTCATAATGCTCTCTTTAAAATAGCTTGTTTTATTTTAATAAAATATTCTTTACAAAACAAGAAAGTTGATGCATTAGTGTTCGTTAAAAACAACAATGTTTTACAGTAAACAGTAACAATACAAAAATAAAAAACATGTTACATATCAGTTTAAAAACATTGTAATGACAAGCCACAGGCCTGTTAAACGTCACCACTGTTCTTTACTAGTATCTGTACACTTTAAAACTAGTAATTCACTGATGCAATGTGTTCTGTTAATGTTGTCAAGTAAAAGGGAAACTGGCTTCAGGCTACAATTATGCATGATTCATATCAAATTAAAACACCTGGAGGCAAGAAGAGGTAGGCTCTTAATAACGGTTTTGTCCATGTGTTCATACAAATGTGCAGTGGTGGAAGATGTACTTAGGTCTTTAATTAAAAGTAGTAATACCATATTGTAGAAGTACTCGGTTACAAGTAAAAGTCCTGCATTAAAATTCGTACTTAAATCGAAGTACAACGGTTTTTGCATAAAAAATATACACAAAGTACCAACAAATTAAAGTACTAAATATGCAGAATGGTCCAATCCGGAAACAAAATTATATTTAATCATTGATGCATTTTTGTGTAGATCTTTAATGTTGCATCTTGGCCTATTTTGTACTGTAAAAGCTGCTTGGTTTCATTTCCTCCTTAATGCAAATCTTATTTTCGTATCTGGTCATATGTTGTTTGATTAATTTGAACCTATAAAGTTATCAAACAATTGAAATACTCAAGAACTGTTAAAGTACCTCCAAAAAATACTGTTCTTGAGTAAATGTACTTTCCACCACTGCATGTGCGTACAATGAAGAAAGTGTTACTATAACAATAGTATAAAACGGGTTATAACATGGTGATCTCGCTGGTAGGCAGGGTGAGTCTCCTCTCGCGCACAGACAGCATGTTTTCCACCTGCATGGCGATGACTCGACACAACTCCAGGCCCTGCGGACAGACATGAGCACAGTGACAAAGCAACTCCACTGAAATGAACATGAAGAGTGTCCTTGTGTGTGTTTGCACAATACCTGCTCCAGCTGCAGCTGAACGACCCGCTGTGTGTTAGTGTCCCCCAGCGTGAGATCTACATACGGGTAACTGGAACCAGCAGTGGGCCTCTGGGTGCGGCTCGACTGCACCTCCACCAGGGGGACCATTGCCATCAGCTCCTGCACCACAGGGACCAAACATTATAAACTTCACAACTCTCTGCTGAAACTACATGACCAGTGGTGAAATAATTATTCAGATCTTTTACTAAGTACAATTTAAAAATAGTAATTGTATATTTAAAAAGTATTATGTTAATGTTATGTAACTAAAGGACTCTTGACTCAATTGAAAGTATAAAAGTATTAGCCTCAAAATATAAAAAACTACTCATTATGCAGAATCATATTTATTATAATTATTTATGAATTAAAGTGTGAGCTGATTTAAATGACTATACTGCAGGGAAGTAATGTATAATAATACATCATATTTGATTAGTTAAAAAGTAAGATATTTCCTCTGTAGTGCAGTAGTAGTATTAAGTAAAAGGAACTGGAAATACTCAAGTATAAGTACCACACAATAACAATTCAGTAGTAACTTTCCACCACCGTCCGTACGTGACTTCACTTCTGGGCTCATGTTTTGATCACGATGAGCTGAGTCATGCGAGGGCTTGATGATCGCCAGTGTGTGTGTGTGTGTGTGTGTGGTTCCTTACGTGTGTGTTTTTGTGCAGGAAGTGGAAGCCATGTTGATTGACAGCTACAATGCAGGGGGCGTAGAAGGTTGTGGAGCTGCTGCTGTGGATGTAGAAGAACGAGGAGCCGAACATGGGGAATGCACTGATCAGCCCTGCAAGCACAGAGAACAGAATTTAACAAATTAGGGATTAGGCATTGTCAATTTGTAGTCCCTTAGGAGGCAACACATGGAAAGACAAAACAATCACCTTATTAAAAGGGACACCTCACAGATTTTAGTTCAATTTATTCATTATGAGGAGTCCAAACCAGACTGTGAGAATGAACATTGTCCAGTTTAAACAGAGTTACTCTCGGGAAGTTACTAGGGGGAATCTCGGCTTGTGTTTGGATACAACACATTTTCACCCATGAGCTGCTTTATGGAAAACATAGGATCTATTGTCTTTTAGCTATAACCCATACTAGAGTCTAAAAGTAAAACAAATCTTGGCGTCTGCTGCTTTGAGTTTTCTTAATCTGTCTCCAAACATTACACAGGAAAACTAAATCACTGTAGTATATCATTAAAGAGAAAATTGCCACTCTATGTGTATGTCCAATTAGTGTTTGGAGTAAATGTCGTCATTTAAAGCAACATTATGCCTCAGTTTGTGAGAAAGCTGAGTTCCCTTGCTCCCAAATGCCTGATGCAGGAAGAAAAACAGAGAATGAAGACAAGATCAGCTTTCTTACTCCATAAAACCCCCATTGAGGAATGTACTGCTCATATCGTCTACAAACACCATCAACACTGATTGGACATCCCTTTAAGAGGGGGCACATTTTCCCTTTAAGGAACAAATACTTCCTGTGTTAAGCCCAATTTATTTAAAAAGGTGTTCTAAATGAAGATTACTATTCCTGTCGATATGAAGATTAATTAAATATTGAACTGCGCTCAACATTTATTTCTTGACAATTTCAACTCAAGGTCTAGAAATGTACACATGCAGTGACAAAGGAGGTAGTTACACATGTATGGAAAACATGTAAAAAAAGTTTTGGGAGTTTTTCCAATTTAACGTGAAGCGGAGATCTTACCCATAAACTGCGCTCTGGCCTGGTGTGGGTTCAGGGCCTGCACCTGCTGCATGTGCTGCGTCAACATGGTAACCCACTGCTGGGGTGGCTGCTTTTTGAACAGAGGTGGAGCGATGTACTCCGATAGTTCATGTCTGGAGGAGAGAAGAAGATAAACAGGAGTCTGCTCCACTCAGTGATTTCTAAACATTTCTCTGGATGGTTTTACTCACTGAGCTGTTTCTGTTCTGCTGTCGGGTGTGTGTGTGTGTGTGTGTGTCTGTGTGTGTGTGTGTGTGTGTGTGTGTGTGTGTGTGTGTGTGTGTGTGTGTGTGTGTGTGTGTGTGTGTGTGTGTGTGTGTGTCTGTGTGTGTGTGTGTGTGTGTGTGTGTGTATGTACTGTAGTGATAACAGCAAGACTTTTTACAGCTGAGAAAAATAAAGTATCACACACTTTAAACACCAAAACTACTGACTGCACTGTGTTCTCTCTTCAACCGTGAGTTTCTTAAACCAGACCCACACTGCACAATGTTTTACTTTTAAGACAGTGATAGGATTATGGGATGGAGAAAAATAGTTTCCTTTCAGACCAAATATTAATTTGGCTAAATGTATATTTCCACAAATACAGTACATACAATGTGATCTAAAAACGTTTCTATTTGGAAAGGCTTTTGGAAATGTTAGATATATATTTTTATAGTATACTGTTTTCATTTATATTTATTTGAGCTTAATAATTTGATTGTATTTATTTCTGTTTGTGCCTTACCCTCATTGGTTCTACCTTTAATTGGGTTTCCTTTCTTTTGTACATTAATTTGTTACTGTTATATTGTTCTTGAGGTATGTAAATTCTCCCTGTTCTTCTCTATATTAAGACCACTTTTCATTAAAGTCCTTTAAATGATAGCAGTTTGTTTTCTGCACCCTAAACTGTAAAAAAATAAAGATAAATAAGACTTTTCTTTCCCTTTATGACTGAAACTAGAGGCTGTATTGTCAAACTTTGCTGGTTTCTTACATGGTGGGGACGAAGAGGATGTCTTTGGTTCTGTGCTGCAGAGCTGCCAGTTTGGAGATCTGATGAAACTGTTGATCGCTCACTTTCCCAGGTGGAAGAATATTTAGCAGGCCTTTACGGTAATCTGGCAGGATCTGGATATACACACAAACACAGTTACATACACACATGTAGGTAACATATACTGCATGTATGTAAAGTTTCACTAATGGTACCTGGTTATAGTGCATGGCGACGCAGAGCTCGTTCTCAAACTTGAGCGGCTGAGTCCAGACGACTCGTCTGAACCAGAAGCTGTAGCTCGTGTCCACCAACTCCGCCTCTGTCGCAACGTCCAGGATGTACTCGTGTTTGTTCAGGGGACGCACATTCTGACCTGGACACACACAGACACACACATGTACAATTATTTATAACACAGAGATATTCTTATTCATCTAAAGAATAACATTGACTACCACTTATACTATACAAATCATATTCGATGGAACGATTTGGTTATCTTGCAAACTCTAGATAAATAAAAACGACTGACATGACTACCCTGAAATGTCTTGATGAATGGAGGAAATGGGGGGGCCAGGTTTAAAGGCAAAAGTCCTTTTCATCCAGTTGTATGTTCCCAAACACATACTATTTAACACTTGTATGAACGATTAGCTAGTCTGGGAAAGCATGAGACTGTTAAATTTGAAGTGTTTTACCGTAGAGGCCCTGGGAAAATAGTGGTTCCTTCAAATATACGATGTATGGGGTGAGTAATTCACATACAAATGGCTGAAGCAGCAAAGGAAATGAAAAACTTGTACAAGCAACAAGTGACATCAAAAATCTCCATTGTGTAACTTATCAGATAAAAAAGGAAAAACCACAATTCTAGTTTCTTATACTGTAAAATGTATATTATGTTGTGTTTGTAACTATGTATTTATGAACTACTTGGATAAATGATTGACAATTGGAGCATCATATTTTTTAATAAAACTATACAGATAAACAGCCTGCAAACAAAAGGTATCCTAACGTCTTAATAAATAATAAAGAGGGAAATGTGTACTGGCCTGTTATTGGCACTGTTGTGATATCGGAAATGAAAGATGATATCGAGCATTTCTCGTTATATTGCCATGACAGCCCGATTAGGACTCGTGAACATGAATGACTTTCTCCCACAGAAACCAGAGGACAGTCTGACATGTGATCTGTGAGTGGATCCGCTTCACTGACAGTGACGAGGAGATTGACTTTGTGCACCAATACAACATTTAGTGTGTGTGTGAGAGAGAGAGAGGCAGACCTCTGTGAGCAAACCTCTGTTAGTGACTAGAAATATGGCATATTCCTCCATGGCCTCCAGTTTGTGTAAACCCATCTCATAACACAGCTCCTCAATCACCTCCAGAGCAACCTGGAAACACGACACACACACACACACACACACACACACACACACACACACACACACACACACACACACACACACACACACACACACACACACACACACACACACACACACACACACACACACACACACACACACACACACACACACACACACACACACAAGCATGAGTACATTACGGCTGTCTCCCTTAGATTGCAGTCGTGATGAAAGACTATAGTGTGTATGAACACTTACAGAACACGTTTTGATTTTCACGTGACGTTCAATGCCTCCAGGAAATAGAAACAGCTGACGTTTTGAACTACGTCCGGCCTGAGAAAAAAGACAAACACCCTCATATACTACAGTATGTGCTGCACATAACACTGGACATGTTGGTATATGGCTGATTTATTTAGGACCTTAAACCACAGAAAACTGCATATAAATAATAATTTATATAAAATATAATAAAACTATTATTTTTCCACCCTTGAAGAGGCCCAACTGTAACAATACAGCTACCATTTTCTAATGTATATATTTTGATTATTAAAATATGTTTGAGATAGCAATAAGTGTCAAACATTACAATACATGTTAAATCTTAATCTAAATGATTAATCTAAATATTTAATCCAGATCTGAATATCAAATCCAAATGTTGAATCTGTATCTATATATTCAATTAATATCTTAATGCTGACACTAAAACTAAATATTAAATCCAAGTCAACATTTTAAGCCAAATGTTGATATGGAATCTAAATATAAGTCAAAAGTATTACTCTAACTATCAAATAAAAATGTAAATATATATATATATATACATATTATTTACAATTATATATAACAGTTATTTTACGTACATTTCTGGCTCACATACATGAGGAAAGGGAGGTTTATATTCAATATATGTCAGTTAAAATAGTGACAGATGTTTACACCACTACAGGTAAATAAAAGCGGCCCTGACCATCACCGCCTTCAGCTCCATGCTGTTGGGAGGAACGACACGGCCGCCGTACTGAAACGTCTTCTTCAGGTTCTGCTCACATGCTTTAGCGATGCCTAACAAATTTACATATTAAAAAGAAAACATTACATCCTGCTGTTTGTGGTAATGTGTACAGCATTATGATGTGTGTGTGTTTTACCCTGATACTGCACCCCTGCGCTGCGGGACGCCTGCTGCAGGTTCTTCAGCAGGAAGGGCTTGAGGACCTCAGAGCAGCGATGGAAGGCGGTCAGGATGTACAGCAGCCTCCAGCCTCGTTGGCAACTATCACTGAACAACACAAGGGTGAACACACACATCCACCCACCCACCCACGCACGCACGCACGCACGCACACACACACACACACACACACACACACACACACACACACACACACACACACACACACACACACACACACACACACACACACACACACACACACACACACACACACACACACACACACACACACACACACACACACACACACACACACACACACACACACACACACACACACACACCAACACTCAGGATTACACGCTCGGTTAAGAAAGAGGAGCACAGTGTGTGGGTTGGTTTATGTGTGTATGCTGCTGATGTGGGAAACTCACGGTTTGGAGCTGGTGTTAGCCGTAAGCTGTTTGAGGAGTTGGCAATAAGCCTCATCCCGCATCAAGGTGAACTCTCCTATGAGCTGAGGGTGGGGGGGGTGGACACACACACAGCAGGGTTATCATCGTCAAACTAAAATTAAACTCGGGAAAAATATTCTAACCACAAAAAAAAGTTGCATGGTTTAAAATAAATAATAAATGTATTTGTTTCAGGTAATTCTCAGTTGTAATATGTCACTACAGAAAAAAAGCAGACAGCATGAGTTGCTGTAACCTCTTGACTTTGAAACACAGAAATTGACTTCACATTCCAGGAGATGGCGCTATGCAGCAGTTGCTTCACAATTAATCACTGCTGTTTTTCACATAAGAGTCCATACTTGTTGAATCAAATAACAAATGAAATACATAGAAGTACAAATACAAATAAGTTGAATCTTTCTGTATAAGTTAAAATAAAAATGTTAAATGAATTCCCAAATGAAAAGTGAAAGTAAGTATTAATATAAATAAATAAAGTAATTAAAAAATGTAAATAGTAGCTTAAGAAAAACAAGTGTGTATTTACCTTGAGGAAAGTAGTGATCACTTCCTGTTCTGTTGATCCTCTTGAGGGAGCGTCACCCATGAAACGCATCACCGCTACACAGAGACACACGCAGGTCAACAATATTTAAATCTCCAATAGCAGATTCCAGAGAAATCAAGCACTTGAGTTAATCCGATACAGGAACATCTCATTTTGACAAAGGATGAATCAGGTGTAATAAGAGTAATGTAATAAGAGGATGTAATTAGAGGAGAGAAGGTGAGAGCTTACACAGGAAGAGATCAGCTGCCACCCTGTTCATGGCCATGTCCGTAAACTCTATCAGAGACTCAGTCAGAGGAGTCTGCAAAGATCAAATAATACAGGAAATGTGTGATGTACTGCGCACAATTCAATACACCAAAGAAAACACAAATTATGAAAACATGGGCTAACATGCTTTGAGTTTTAGCAAGAAGGAAAGCACCTTGGAGAACTTGATCATTTCAGTCGGCTCTCTGGAGTCTCTGTTCTTGCTTTTGCCCTTCATGGAATCTCTGAAAACACAAATGCAGATTAAACAGGCTCACAGAAAAAGCAATAGTAGCAAAACCATGCTTAAGAAAATACTGTATTACGAGTGAAAGTACTAAGTAGTAAGACTTATTATGCAGAATGGTAACAAACAACAACACTTTAATCTTTCAGTTTTTTAAGGTTGAGCTTTTGATGCTGTTTAGTATCTTATCTTAGAAACTAATAATGATGTGTATATCAATTGTTTGTAAATATAGCTGCTTATTGTATGTAGTGAAGAAAAAAAATGTCTCAAAAGTATACTTAAGCGCAGAACTTGAGAAAAAGGCCACTTTCCACCACTGGAGAGCGTTGAGGCCCTCTCTGTTATTCTGTGTGTTTGTGAGGATTTCAGTGTGTGTGTGCACATTTTCTTTCTGGGTCTCACCCCTTCATGTTGTTTCCCTGTCTGAAGTACTTCTTGGCGAACTCCAACATGTCATATTTACTGTCCTGAAGAGCCCTCTCATCCAGATCTCCTTCAGCAAAGCCGTCAAGGGAAACCTTCTGAAAATCAGAGATTGACAGTGAAAAACATCTGACACTCAGATCAGTGTTGCAGACAGGAAAAAAACATGTGTGTGTGTGTGTACCTCAATCGTTTGATCTATCTCATGTGCAGCCATGGTGGATGCCACGGCAACTGCGACTGCTGATGATACATTAAACTGGCCTGCTCCTCCTCGAGGCTCGGACTTGCGGTCCAGCGGCAGCGACAGGAAGTCAGGAGGAGCGACGGCATGGACACACTCGGCTGGGAACGCTCCAGAGCGGCCGAACACAGCACCAAACTTCCAACCTGACACACACACACACACACACACACACACACACACACACACACACACACACACACACACACACACACACAAACACACACAAACAGAAAGAGAGCCGAGGGATTAAAACCACTCATTAAAAGCAAACAGTCCTGAGTGCTTTGTGACACTGAACAAGCCTCCTTTCTGCAGCGGTCCTGATCCCTATCTGCTTTTCCTCTAACAGCAGGTCAGCCTTTCATTTACACAAGTCAGATCTGTATCTGCATGCTTTTCCCTCTTATTTACCAGACTTAACTCTCCTCTCATGGCCACGCTGATAACCTGGCACAAAATGCAGCTTTTGGTCTAATTATAGATACTATACACCTGGGAACTTGTGTCACTTGTGAGGACATCATATTGACTTACATTAAAACCCTGCATTGTTTCCTAACCTTAACCCTACATGCCTGAACCCAACACCTTCACTTAATCGTATATATATTTTGTTAACCCTAAAATCTAAACTCCAAAGCTGTATCTCTGAAAGCTTTGCTTATCAGGATCATCTTTATTTGCCAAGTAAGTGTGCACATGCAAGGTATTGGACTCCAGATTTCTGTTGCTTTCACTGTATATACACAGAAATAGACATACAGCTGTTACAAGGAGAATACAACTGACACATTTGACAATTATAAAATAATGATAGGAGTGAAAAGATTAGGGGTGTTGCAATATACCAGTATTAACAATACCAGATGTACGTTCTCCTTTCATATGATGTTAACATGTAGTGATTTACTGGAAACCTAACAAGGTTTTTAAGGGTGGTTTGGGGTCCAAATGAAAAATAGATGCAGGGAAAATGACAAAAATCTATGTGAAAGCACACACTGGGTTTGTCCTATCAGGTATCTGTGAAGCAATGTAAAATATGACTACACCTCATCAGTGATCTTATTTCAGCTTTTGTGTCCTCAGGAAATAAATCAATATTTTTCAAATTGCATCACCGTCTTCCCTCTGAAAAATAAATCTGAAACAACACTGCATTTATAGTGTGCTGTCACTGCACCTATTTCTCCTTGGCGTATGATACCATCACACCTCCAGGGGACAGTCCAGGATAGTTCATCTATCAAAGCTGTCAGTGTGAATTGATTCTTTGTTTATTATTTATCCTTGGCCATGACACTAGCATCTGGCTACCAAATGCAAGGAGGTGAAGCTTATAGACCTGGTTTTGTTTTAGACTAAAATAAAGGTATTTATGAACACTCACCAAAGTCTTGAGTTTCTCTTTTCAGCTCCTCCAAAAACACCACCTTCTTCCTCACCACACAGCCGTAGTTGTAACCTGGGGGATACACACATAAACACACGCTTGGATCATAGATTAATTTATAAGATAACATTTTTCTACTACATGTAGCAGAGTGTCTCACCCTTCTCCAGCCCGTCCATAACCTGCAGCCTGATGATGTCACCTTTGTGAAAACTGAGCATCGAGCGATCGTCTGTCACAAAGTGTCGCTCTGCGATCACATAATCTGAGTCCTACATGGGAAAAACACACAAATGCATACTCTTACATTGTCATTGCATAGTTATTTGCATTTTCACTACTTTTGGTTATTCCAGTATTTATTTAAATTGAGCATACTGAAAAGTGTGTGCTGTACCTTTTTGATCTCATTGATGAAGGTGTCTATGAGATGTTTGACTTGCGGAGCCTTGGCTGAGAACAGGATCAGTTTCTCGTTGGTCAGATTAAACTCCAGCATGTTCTCAGAGGGGATGGTTACAAACAGGATGTCTGCATAGCTGAAATAAATACAGTGCAGAATGTAATATGATTATGAAATCTGTAAGATATACAGCATACACTTCCAACTCTTATATATAACAATGGTACAGTTACAGTAGAAATTATAAGCGATGCACATTTTTAAAAAAACTTTAAAAAAGTTAATTGGCCTTTGTTCCACTATTTATAAAATAAATACAATTATTATTTCAGTGTATGACTATTTGTATTAAAATATTAACATATATTTTTCAGTCATCGTTTTTCAACTTCTTCATATTTAACTAAATCCATTCACATTATACTAGACATCTTGACCATTTTCCCCTTCCATACTAAACGAAATATGTTACCAAGATATATAATAATGTACTGTCAGGTTATTATATAGCCTGAAAAAGCCAAATCTAAATATTTAGAAAATAAGAAAAAGTCAAGATAATCAGAGGTAATTGGGTATTATTGTCCGTGAAACCTGACACCGAGTTTAAAACAGGCATATCTGGAACATCAAACAAAATTAAACAAAGGTCAATAGACCTAAAAAACAGAACATACGTGTATGGTCGTAAGACTCTGAAGTAGTCTGGAGCTGCAGCGCTGCTTTTTACGGTCTTCAACAGCTTTATACCGCTGTGGGACACGGACAACACCTGCACACCTGTTCCCACACTGCCCTGCACACACACACTGTATGATCAATACAAACTCACAAACACAATCAATAACATTTTCCTCTCAGGGTTGACCATCCTTACCGATGCAGGGAACAGACGGGAGAAGTAAATCTCCCAGGTTTCCCTGGCAGCCGTGACGATAGTTTTCTTCACGTGCTCCTCCACAGGATCCATATTCTGTTCAACCGCGTGTTTAGCTGCCATTCACACAAACAGACACACATGAATGTCAACAAACAAATATGTTAGAGGAATAAGGTCTAAAGAAATGTCTGCAGGAAGAACAGACGGATTACCGAAAAGGCCCTTCATTTTCTGCCTTTCATCCCGCGTGATGCGAACACAGGCCTCTGACAGAGTGTCGTTCACGATCTGCACCAAACAACAGAGAGAGAGGATGTGAGAAATAGCTAACTTTGATATTTCTATGATTTCTGTGTTGTCAGGTCAAAATCCTGAACACAATTGGTGAGAGGTGAAAACAATGGTGAATGACAAATAAAAGTATTCGATTACATGAACATTAAAAGAGATGCACTTTTCTTCAACTGTTACCTGTTTGAAAATGAGATCCAGCACCAGAGGATTGTTGAAGCTGTCTTTCGGATAAAAAACCTGTAAAAGCAAGTCAAATATTCACAATAGTAAAGAATACAGACATTTTGAGAGCTGTTCATGATATGTTTGTAGTTGCATACACACCTCCTTCCTGAGGTACAGCCTCCAGGGAACGTTGGTGTAGGTGTAGTGCTCCTCATTGGTTCTCTGATGAAGTTGTGTCTGGATGGTCTCAATCTCTACCGGAAGCTCTCGAGAAACTGCTCAAAATAAATCGCTTTACTTTTTAGTTTCACCCAATTCGATGTCCTTATTTTTTTATATATTTACTAAGTGTGCATGTTAATGATTAAATCTGCACTGAATGATTTGAAGCATAATTTAGAACGTTTACATTCATGCTGCACATGTTGTTAATTTCCTTTGCATATCTATAAACATCTATGGAAACATGCACCCACAAGTTACTTTCATTAAATAAAGTTGATTTAATTAAAGAGACTAACTCACTTAAACTGCATATTATGGGATGTGGCTTACCCTTTCCCCCTCACATGCAATATGAGGACTGTCTATTCGAGGACAACGCTATGGCAGTTATTACATTCATTCTAGTGCAATAATTACATTCATACTAGTGCATTAATTACATGTACTCCAGCGTAATATTTGAATGTATTTATAGTACAATCAGTGTTCTTATTTTAGTGCAAAATGACATGGTATTTATTTTATTTATTATGTTAGAACCTGTTCTGTACAATTACAATAAAGCCTTTCTTTTTGTCTTGAATCTACATGACTCAAGCATATACACAGGTACCTACAGTATAACTCTGTAAAGTAATGTAGTCGTGTCTGCATTAGAATATGCGGATGTGTACTTTGAGTGAGTGTGAGTACCTGGAGGAGGAAGGGGGAGAGGACGTTGAGGTGTTCTTGTCTTCGTGCTCTTGGTGGGTTTAAATCCCGCTTCTTTAATTGCAGACGCAGATGGTGAGGGGGCAGCAGGACGTTTGGGCTGGACAGACACAGAAATGTTCCCCTGCATGACTGATTTCACTGCCAGCGTGCTGCATATTCTGTGTGTGTATGAATGTGTGTGTGTGTGTACCTGTGGAGCCGGTGGGTTTTCCATCTGAGGTTTGAGGATCTGTAAAGCTTCATCCCGAGGGGTTTGCTTCTTCCTAAACCTCCCCTCTCCTCTCCTAAACACACACAGTGTCAACAGCACACATTACAGTTTGCAGAGTTTTCAAATACACTACCGTTTGTACTGTTTAATATGTGTTTGTTATGTGTGTGAATACAATATCCCTGGTGCTGTGTGTGTTCACTGTGAGCATTAGCATCCCACTCAGTATCTGTATAGGTCATTTTTTGTAGCCATGGTATTATTTAATTCTGTGACTGAAGAAAGCATCAACTGTTGTGCGATACATACAATTATGCATCTGTGTGTGTGTGTGTGTGTGTGTGTGTGTGTGTGTGTGTGTGTGTGTGTGTGTGTGTGTGTGTGTGTGTGTGTACAAGACGTCACCTCTTTTCTTGCAGCAGCATGTCATCCGATGGAGGTGGGGAGTTGTATCTTTTGATGATTGCTTAAAAGGAATAATATAAACGTATGAATTATGCAGATAACACTTTACATTTTTTCATCGCTCACATCTAAATACCATCCATTGTTTCTAGAAATCAAGAAATAAATACGTGTATCAACTTTATGATCATCTTTCAGTCATTCAGTCAGAAATATTTAAAAGCTTTTAAATTCAGTCACCTTGCACATCTTGGCTGGGGAGGATGTGCTCTGTGGTGCGACCTGCTGAGAACTTCACCACCTCGCCAGCAGGGGGCAGAGGAGTCGTCACCACTGGGGCTAAAACACACACACACACACACACACACACACACACACACACACACACACACACACACACACACACACACACACACACACACACACACACACACACACACACACACACACACACACACACACACACACAATAAGGTGTGATGCTCTGCTGGGAAAGGTGTTCTTTCAATTTAGATTTAAGGGACTGAGGGGACTTTCTCTCCTGCTGACTCATGTTTTCTCTGTCTCTCACTCTCTTACCAAACTTCCTGACTGGTTTGTCCTTGTTTATGGGGATGCCTGGAGCCTTCCTCCGAGAGCCACTGTCCTTACCTGACTGAACCTGAAAAAGCCACACGGAGAGGAGAGAGAGTTTAAAATGAAGGCTTTGCAGACATTACATATTGTCTCTTGAGATTGTGTCTCAGCCAGGACAATGTTGAGGCTAAGTAAATGGTAGAAAAGGGACTGTATAAATACAGGACTATGAATGCAGCACAGTAGAATTCGTTTTTAGAATTTGTCTGTGAGGTTGGGTCGAAAAATGTCATGTCGCACTTATGCTCATTTATCTCAAAACTGGAATCTAGAAACTGCATGGTGCATCACGGCATCTTATTGCATTATTATCTCTATATTTTGCATATACTTTTATTCTTAATACTGTGAATCTTTCGTTCAATATATCTTTGAACATTCTGTCCAAATATTTCCATTTTAAATAGTATTTATTTTAAAATATTTGTATTGTAAAAAAGTGCTGTTGTTCTTCTTGTCTATGCACCAATTCACCAAAGCAAATGTCCTGTATGTGAACATTTACTGTAAACTGGAATCTGATTCAGATCCACACAATCTCATGTGACTAAAACATCATTAAAAACCCCTATTATTGCCCTACAAAAAGAAAAGTATAATCACCAGACCTCTAATGCTGCAGACACTGACCAACATATTCAAAAGATGCACCACATTCAGAAGACGCTGAACATCTGCACCGCCCTCAGTCTAGTTTATTTTGAGATTTTATTGGGAGTTTTCTCATCCCATTGACTGATTTTGATCCATTCTCTGCTCTGTAAGCAGCTCTGTATTTGTTCTTTTGTTTAGTCTCTGTTAGTTTTTATTTTCCTTTAGCCTCAGTGCGTCTCTCAGACACTTGAGTTGTTGATTTGAATGATTAATTAAAAGGACATATTTTCATTTCATTTTCAAATACACTTGCTTTCCCTTTCATCATCCTACATACAGTTCTTTATTTTATTTCTAACAAACCTCTCACTCTATCCTTTTAAGGAAACTGCATCTTGTTTTGAGGACAACATTTTTCCCGAGGGACTGTAGCTTGTTGTTGTTAGACTTTACAACAACAGCAACTATAACATCTTTCATAAATTAACAAGGACTGAATCATTATGTAATACGTCAGTCTGGACTGTTACCTCACATGTCTCAGAGTTACTGACCCGTGAAGAAGCGTTAGCCTGGGGCTGTGTCGGCTCAGTTTTGGAGGAGTATGTCTGGGGCTGAGGCCGAGCTTCGGGTCGAGTCCTGGGGTCCGCAGGAGGGTGTGAGGGAGTTTGTTCATGTCTAGAAGGGGGGGAGTAGGGATGCCTGTGCTGGATGTCTGCTGCACCGTAAGGGGTGGGGGTGAAGTTAGCGTAGGGGCTGGGTGGAATGTTAGCATATGGACTTGGGGGTATGGAGCCGTAGGGGCTGGCAGGTGCATACGGGCTGGGAGGGTGTGTGAGTATAGGGCTCATGGGGGGGCTTGTGATTGGGGAAGTAGGGGGGCTCGTCATGGCCATGGCCTGCATGGTCATCTGCTGGGCCTGAGAAACAAGACGCGTTAACTCCAAAACAAGAACTGTGAGAGATAAACAGACGCAGATCCAGACGGAGGGTTTACCATGATGATGGCCTGCTGGTTCACGATCGCCTGCTGCTGCCGGGACAAAACAGCCTGCTGGGCATCTGGAGGAGAGAGGAGGAGAAACACAGTAAACAGGAAGGAAGGATGACAAATGATGTGTAATGAGGGGGTTCTTTTCTCTTATTTTTCTTCACGCTTGATACGAACCAGGTGTTACAGGTGCCACGGCAGCGAGAGGAGGTGACATCACGCCTCCCACAGGAAGGACTCTCACAGCTGTGGACAAACACACATCATATTTTAAGAGTGTGTTTTTCTTTACACTTGGTAATGATGAATTGAGAGTTTGAGGTTCCTTCAGTGTGTTATTATACTGTATGTCTATGGCTATGTACGTGCTCTTTTATTTCAGTGCCTGGATTAAGTATAAAATTGAAGCTCTCAAAAATTAATGAACACAGTAAGTGGTTCACAGCATGAACACTACTTTCCCACAGTACAAATATGATGCATCAATTAAAGTTGTGTGGCAATATACCTGTCAGTAGCAACATGATTTACTACATTCACTAAAGGGAGGTGTTCAAATCTCCTTGTGCATTTGAATCATAGTTAATGGACCTCATCTTGCAGTTTTTAGTGTTTAGTTTTATTTAGCTAAAAGTCGGAACATTTGATATCCATGTCCACCCTCTAAAGATCTAGCTCACTCAGTTCTTAATGTTAATCCATTTAATAAAGGGTCTGTGTCCAAAATATATACATTGATTCTGAATAACTGCCCTCCCACATGGGATAAAACTAAAGAAGCATGGGAAGGAGATATTGGAGAACTTACAAAACAACAAAAACATTGTTTCACGTATACACACCTCTTCTTTCTGTATTAGACATGGAATAATCCAATTTAAGGTAGTACACGGGCTACATTACTCTAACGACAGACTCGCTAAGATTTTGCCCAGTGTCGCTCCAACCTGTCCCAGGTGTTATTATTCCCCTGTTTTTCCATGTTCTGGTCATGTCCGTCATTAAGCAGTTTCTGGGCTTCGGGTTTTTAGGGTTTTGCAACTTTTTGTCATAAATGTTGGACATACTGTATTTGTGAAAAACTGAAAAATAAAGTTACAAAAAAAGTCGGAACATTTTTAGTTATATTGTAGTCAAAGAAAACCATAACCATGTTATTTTTATTGTTCATTGTTAAGTAAGTTGCACTGATTCCTCCTGACTTTACATAGTGTTCATACTGTATGGTGTGTGAAGCAAAGGACATGGAACTGCTTATTTGTTGTCTCCTCTTTTTTTGCTAATGTATATAAAGTAAGTCTTTTTGACTTTTCCCTGTCTTTTTTTGACAACAATATTGCAAGATCCCAGTTAGTGATTCAAGACGCTGGTGCTATCTCATCGTTGCTCTGTCTTAATACAGTAACAAAGGTTGTGAGAAAAAATGTTGTTTAGTTTAAATTGAAAATGATTCCTGCCAAACAGTAATCCATCAAGTGAATGAGTGAACGAGGGAGGTATTTGAAACAGAGCCTGTGTTTTTCACTGACCTCCAGGTGGAGGTGGGGGGCCGGTTGACTGTCCTTGCTGCTGCCACCCGCCTCCAACCCCCCCAGCCCCCTTCATCCTGCTGGACAGTCCTGCGGCTGATTCTGCTTCCTGTGAGGACAGACAGAAAGACATTATACTTAAGAATCAGATTACAACATGAAAAAACAAGGTACAGTATATTGGCTGATATGTAAGTATCGGCTGATGGCTAATGATGGCTTTTCATTCAATCAATCAATCAATCAATCAATGTTTATTTATATAGCCCAATATCACAAATGTTACATTTGTCTCAGTGGACTTCACAGTTTGTACAGAATATCAGTATGACAATACGACACCCTCTGTCCTTAGACCCTCACATCGTACAAGGAAAAACTTCCAGAGAAAAAACCCACAGTTTAAAGGGGGAAATGGGAGAAACCTCAGGGAGAGCAACAGAGGAGGAAGCTGGGTTATTCGGAACATGAGAGTACACAGGTACAGACAGACAGAAGGAAGAAGTAAGGTGTCCCCCGACAGTCTAAGCCTATAGCAGCTAAACTAACGTGTCTACGTACATGCACTCCCTTAGGATAGGTTGAGGGAAAGGGGTAGTAAGTAAGAAGTAAGGAACAGAGGTGGAGAGGCACAACGTGTCTACGCACATGCACTCCCTTAGGATAGGTTGAGGGAAAAGGGTAGCAAGTAAGAAGTAAGGAACAGAGGTGGAGAGGCACAACGTGTCTACGTACATGCACTCCTTTAGGATAGGGTGAGGGAAAAGAGTAGGAACTAAGATGTATGCGCCACATCTATACCATGAGCGCATTGCTCCTAAACATTTTTTTTGGCACAATCAACAGTTGTGCGTCGACTCGGCAGGGATCAAGGCACGTATATGCCTCTCCCTGCTTCCACCGTCTACACACACAACCAAATGACATACCATCAGTAAGGAAAAAGAGTAAGAACTCAAATGTATAGGTGAAGAGGCACAACGTGTCTACGTCAATGCACTCTTATTAGATTCTTTTATCAACTAAGCTTTATCAAAAAGGAAGGTCTTAAGCGTACTCTTCAAAACGGATAGGCTGTCTGCCGCCCGAACACAAACTGGAAGCTGATTCCACAAAAGTGGAGCTTGATAAGAAAAGGCTCTGGCTCCCATTGTACTTTTAGAGACTCTAGGAACAACCAACAACCCTGCATTCTTGGAACGCAATGCCCTAGTTGGACAGTCGGGTATAATGAGTTCTTTAAGGTAAGATGGCGCCTGCCCATTAAGGGCTTTGTAGGCGAGAAGAAGAATTTTAAATTCTATCCTGTGTTCTATAGGGAGCCAGTGTAAGGCAGCCAGAACAGGAGTAATGTGGTCCCTTTTCCGAACTCTGGTTAGTAGACGTGCTGCAGCATTTTGAATCAGCTGAATTAACTGAATCTTTGGTACACCCTGATAATAAAGAGTTACAATAATCCAGCCTTGAAGTAACAAATGCATGGACTAGTTTCTCTGCATCGTTTTGAGGCAAGATATACCTGATTTTTGCAATGTTACGTAGATGAAAGAAGGCGGTCCTTGAGATTGATTTTACGTGGGCGTTAAAGGATAAATCCTGATCAAATATAACACCAAGATTCGTAGACGGTTTAGTGTGGTCCATTGCCGGCGTGGTAGGTCGTCTCCTCCTATGGTGCCATCTCCTGGGTCCCAGATGTAGCGATGGATGCGGGAGGGCCCGGCTATCTCCCACTCCTGCTTCCAAGCAGCCACCAACCATGCATCTCTGGAGAGGTCCTCAGAGGTGGAATTGAGCATCTCTTGTGCTGCCTTGTTGTAGGGGAGGCGGGACTTGAGCCTACTTAGAGGCGCTGCTGTCATTGTAGTGTTATGCAGGATGTGCCAGTCATGCTTTTGAGCTTTCCTGGCCAGGGCGAGGGTGTCAGCCTCCTATCGGAGGCCGGCCGGAGCTATTCCCGCGAATCCTCCACAACTGATCTGTGTGTTCAGTGTGCTCCAAAGAAATGTCACCAACACTAAAAATATATATTCAGAGGAAGTTTCGGGCTATGTGGAGGCGATAACAAATCATGGCAGTAGAACAGTTAAATATACTGTGACATGTTTTTTCTTATTTTTTTGCAGAGTCTCTGGTCTCCTTTATTTTAACCGGTTGAAATCCAAGCTGACTCCACTGAAGGAGCAAACTAAAACAATTTAAGATCTGCCTTTTAAGCCAAAAGGGGATGTATTTAATAGTAACAGATAGGTTTTTTGCTGGAGAATTTCTTCAACTTGTAAGTGTCGATGTCAACAGTAGTGCTATAGAGACATACAGGGAGATAGAAAACAGACTTTTGAATGTTGGATCAGAGAAATCCCCTCGTAAGTGAGCAGCCGGTCCATCAGAAATCAGCCGCTGACCCATACATCCACAGCAGTGTGTGTCTGTAGGCCATGTCTCATTAAATAGTAAGCCCTTCATTTGCCAGAGTGTCAGTTCCTCGTAAGTAGATCCTTGCGTTGCCTGGGTGGGAAATCACGTGGCGATCTAGTCGCTGTGACAGTTACGGTAACTGGGTAACGTAATAGGTTGCTGGGCGGGAGAGGTCTGTAGAACACATCTGATACATGCTAATTCCTGTCAGCCACATCCGATATCACGGCTAACATTCAGCACGTCGCTGCCGAAGACTGATAGATCCAACATGGCCAGCATTCACTGCACCATTGACCAGACTTAGTACCAGCGGATTTAACTCAATCAGAGACAATCAGGTCGTACTACAAGTGTCATTTTCATGACAGGGGTGTAGTTTAAATGTTGTGGTGGGTAATGCCTTACAAATGAAAAGGCAACGATTTGTCACTGCTGCCTTAACTGAGCAGAGAGCAGTAATCTAACACTGCATCTCTGGCAATCTGCTAGGACAGTTTTATGTTAAGTTTATATTTAGAGCACATTTAAAAACAGCAAAAGTCGACTTAAGTGCTGCACTGTGGTAAAAAAAAGAGTGACATAAACAATAATAAGGTAAGAGCATTGATTCAACTAGAATGCAACAGTCTACTGAATAAAGCTAAATATTGGTGAACACAAATGCTTAACTATCATGGTACTGTAGGTTCTTGGTTGAGTTTTAAATGATGTTAAGGAAAGGGGCTGATCTAATAGAAAGTTCAAAGTTTAGAAGCCATAAGTGCAAAGGCCATACAATGAGAAACCTACTGTAAGCTTGGCCTATTCTAGTGACCGATCACACAATTTGATGGGTTTTAATGTAGCCTTCTTAATAACAGAATTTGCACATGCAAATCAAAACACATTCCTGCTGTTTAAAATAAAAACTAGACAATACAGTATTTTCTTTTGTATTCTTAGCACCTTCGTTACATTAATTACCATTACTATATTTCTTATGTATTATAAATAAACCTAACTGTCTTCTTTACTATCTCTGTAGTGCAAAAACTACTAAGAGAAATGGAGCATTACAGGACCTGTGCAGTAACCAACAGTAAATGGTTGACAGAGGAATCCCCTCTCATGAGGTCAAGTGTGTCAGTGTGAGTAAGAGATGTAACTTACTCCAGTCCCCTCAGACAGCACAGGGTCAAACAGGCTGTCCAGATAACGATCCATCCCTCTCTGAGGCTCAAAGTCTGTGAGGAGGAGACGAGAGCACTTCAGCCTCTGCTGTCTGTATATACGTTTCTGTCTTTGTTTATGTTTTAGCCTAAATGTTTACCTTGTCCATCATAGCCAGGTAAGGCTGAAGGTATGAAATCATCCTTCTTGTCAAAGCCACCACCCAACAGGCTTCTGTAAAACAAAAAAACAATTACACTCATTTGTCAGTACTGAAGCAGCGGTGGATGAAATACACACACCTGTTACATAAGTAAAGTACAATTATCAGCTAAATGTTAGAAAGTCTTAAAGTTAAAGCACTTGGCCCAATACGCTGTTGAATGATAACATATAATTGCATCATTGCATAGGTAACATTTAAAGATACTACAAGGAATATTGTCCAGATTATGAAACAATGTAATACTGCTCTTTATGAACTACATAAACAAACAAGACCATCAACAAGAACATTGGCTTTATACAGAGTTAGTCTTAATGCCTGTAATCAGAAATTAAAAATAAATAGCATTTTATGGCACACAGACCAGAAAGATAATTGTATTTTTGATTATATTTTAGTAGAGTCTAGATCTTAGAGGGAGATAATGAACTTTTTGTTCATTATCTCGCTCTAAGATCTAGTGGAGTAAGATTATAAAGTAGCATAAATGCTTAACTATAATACCCACAATTGCACACAAGTATAGCACATTCTTCTGTATTTAGTGAATGTGTGTCTCACATGCTGGCATTGGTCCGCACTCGGGTCGGTTCCTGTGCGGAGATGATGAAGTAGCTGCTGTGTTTGGGGAAGTCAGCAGGAAGCTCCAGGTCCGACATCAAGTCCAGAACGTAGTCTGAGCCCTCCAGCTCCACCCACTGCGCCGGCTCCTTCAGCACCACCGACCAGCCCCGACGGCCCTCCGTCACACCCCTGCACACGCACACGCACACACGCACACGCACACGCACACGCACACGCACACGCACACACACACACACACACACACACACACACACACACACACACACACACACACACACACACACACACACACAAACAGAACAATATAATAATGCACGCAAATCTGCTCTGATCAACAGTTCCACCTGAACATCTTCTTTCCTTTTCCCAGCTTGTCATTGTAAACCAATCCATACATTAAGTGTAAGATACAATGGTGTGTCAGGGTTTTGTTCAATAGGTACAAATAAAATACAGAGTGGGGCGAGAAGGGTTATGTTCTAATAAAATAAAATACTCAAAATATCCAAGTCTTTCATTAACAAAAAGGATACTTTCTGAAATACAAATATCATAAGTGTGTGAGAGAAAAGAACCTCAGAAAACATCTCTAAGACACTGATTCTTGGACATTTAGAAATGTTTCTCTCTCATAATTTATTTTTTATTTTTCAGCTAACATGGCCCTTATAGTCCAAACGATGATACCTGTGTTTTAAGATGTCTTTAGCCATTTCCTCCCCTGTTGTCCAGGAGTGTAGAGGACACAGGAAGGACACACCTGCAGGAGAACAACAGCACTTAATAGACAAACAGCTGAATGTGACATGACGCCTTGCTCTCTTTTGGGAAAGCCAAAATACCACTGACATACAGCAATTACTTGCAACTTTGAAATTATGTGAGGTGTTTTTATCCTATAATGCAATAAGTGCCGTTTAATCAGGTTATAAAATGGTTTCTCAACGGCATCACTAAAACAAAGTTGGTAGCACTCTTCCCTTTCTGCCTATGAGGCCTTACACAGACACCAGCATCAACAAACAGACACAAACAAAGCCAGTGAACCAGAGAGGCTCTCAGGTGTCGTCTAATCCTCAGTAGGCCTGCCAAGAGGCCGGAGGACAGATTAGCTGGATGAGAGGAGGAAATGAGAGACGGATAACTCTTCGGTGCTGGACACTGAACACACTGACTGAGCTCAGGGGAAGAAGAAAAGACGAAAGACAAGTAAAGGTGAGGCTGGGTCAATGAAAGGGAGTCAAAAACCAAAGGGAGTCTAACTAATTATGTTTAAAATGCATCAATACGCCAATCATTACTTACATTTATTCAAGGAAAAACTGAATTCCTGCTATAGTGAAAATATACAGACAAGCCTCTCTCTGTTGCTGGAGGGCAGAAAGCTACACACACACTTTTAGTTGCACAATTATCAGTACATCTAAGCCTTATTTAATTCAATTGTATCTATTTTATTTATTTAAATACATGTTTTCAATGGCACCTAGCTAAAGATGTTTGGTAATGTGATCACTTTCACTCTCATTTCCATCCATCCAAACTTTGGCAACTAGATCTGAATATAAAATGAATTAAAACCAGCTCTTGGCTACATGTGTTGTGTGGGTGTGTGTTCTCACCATCGAAGCAGTGTATGTGCAGAACAGTGTGCGCTCTCTTGCGATTGGCGGTCCACTCCAGAAGGCAGGGTGGATACGTGCGGACATACTCCGGCCCGACATTTAACCGCTGCAGAGCTTGAAGCAGACGGTGCTGACACACACAGTCGTAGCCCTCCGGCCCGTAATCAGACACAAACCTACAACCACAACAAGGACGAGCAAAAAGAGAGATGGAAACTACATCACATCCCTTCTTTCATTTAAAACTACAGTACATGATCCAGCAACTTATCCTTAGATATCCCTCATGAATGCGCTAATGTTCACAGTATTTCAGATGCTATGCACCTTGAAAATGTAACGAAGTCTAAAATGTCCTTTAAAATTGCCAAACAAGTACTGAAAACATGTGTAAAGAATCATGTGTAAAGATGACATGCATGCACTGAAAAGCATGCAATAAATGTACTGTATAAATGTTGCGTAGACATTTCCAT